ATGTTTGTTTGGAATTTTTTTTTTAAATGAAAGCTAAAAGTCCAGATTTTTCAATGGTATAATAAAAATTAACAATATCTAACCCCTTTGTGCCCGTACATCGCGTCAAACTTCACAAAAAATTAATACAATTTTCTATGATTGTTTAGAGTGTAATTGTACATAGTTGCAAAATATATTAATTAAAAACAATTAGAGTACATAAAAGTAAAGATTTTAAGCTTCAAAATGAGCTAAAGCAGAAGCATTTTTGATCATTTTTAAAGACGTTATGACACTTTGAATTTTGCCATTTTTTTAAAAGTTTCTAGGTATACTGATACTTTTGAGCGGTACTGTATATGATCATCTAAAATGAGTTCAAAAGATACCTATTATTTATTTTACATATTTATGAAGAAATATTTTAAAAACATGCAGTTTTAAAGCAATAAAAAAGTAAATATTTATTATCTCTAAGGAGATACATACACTATCTAGCCATTAATGACCGGACACTGTGAAGTTCGGCGGTGGAGGAATTATGGTGTGGTCCTGTTTCTCACGGTTTGGCCTTGGACCCTTGGTGTTAAGGCGTGGAAACCCTGAACGCAGAAGGGTATAGAGACATCCTGGACAATTCGGCGCTTTCCACCCTGTGGCAACAGTTCGGTAATGGCCCGTTTGTGTTTCAACACGATAACGCTGCCATTCATAAAGTGCATGCCATCACGGTCTGGTTTGATGAAATGGGGGCGCAAGAGCTTGACTGGCCATCCCAAAGTCCCGACATCAATCCAATTGAGCATCTCTGGGATGAGTTGGAGCGCCGGTTGAAGGCCAGACCACAACGCCCCAAAACCACCACTGAGCTCTTTGCCATGTTACAAGAGGAATGGCGGGCAATACTTGCCGCCGTGTACCAACACCTAGTGGATAGCCTTCCAAGAAGGGTTAAGGCTGCGATTCTAGCGCGTGGCGGCCCTACGCCCTAATGACTTGATGCTAGCACCTCATGCATCCGAAATGAGGTTTGTCCGGTCATTAATGGCCAGATAGTGTATATTTAATAATAATATGATTATAATACATTAATAAAACTAATTACTCTGTATAAACTTTCCTTGCTTTTGATGAAGCAAATTTATCAATAATATCATCAAAATTGATCATTTCAAATTTTTCTCTTTCCACACTTAAAAATGCTAGGTCACTTAGGCGATCTTGTCCCATCGTTGATCGTAGATACGTCAAAATTAATTTTAATTTGCTGAATGAACGTTCGCAGCTAGCAATTGATACTGAGATAGTCAGGAGTATTTGAAGTGCCACTCTCAGGTTTGGAAAAACATCTTCTCCATACGAGATTATAAAAGTACAAAATTCTAATGGAGTTTTAGGTTCGATTTTTTTTCTATTGCGGAGTAACATTTTGCAGTCACATATTTCGATATAGAGTTCTATTCCATTGAAATCTGTATTATAAATTTCACCCAAATTTTTAAAAAAATTTTCAAGGTCGTTATCAACATTATCCTTGTTTAATAAATTTTCAACGTCTAGTAGAAATCTAAATTTGAAATTAAGGTCACTTAATTGTGAACATATTTCTTGTTGGAGACGATCAAGAACGCTTTTCATAAAGCGAGAAATTTCACTTTCTGCAGAAAGACCAACATCTCTAGCCAATCCTCCGGGCATTTTTCGACGTCTTCTTACACGTATTGTTGTATCAATACCCCGTTTTTCACAAAGAGACTTCGCTTTTTTTATAGTCTCTTCACGAAGCTTATCTCGAATTTCGGCTAGTTCAGTCGCTAATGATTCAAGATCATGGAACTCTTCTCTAAAATTCATTCTTGGATCCTGTAATCGGAGCTGCACATGATTATCCTCCTTAAGATTTCATACCAGAAATGAACTGAAGTTATGAAACTAAAAGTTAGTATATTTTGCATCAGAATTGTAGCTTCACTTCTGGTGTCACGGTGTCCTCTGCTAGTTTTTCTAATAGTTCTACTACTATACGCTATACCTACGCATAGTACTATAACGCTAACCGCGATAACGCTAACCGCTTGTATTCTGGCGCTCCATCGTGTTTCAGATTCACGTTTGACAGTTTATGCTAAAGCATTTTTTAATAATTCCCAACGTAACGTTGAACATGAGAAAAAGAGATATATGTTTTCAATTATTCCAAAACATGTCACAACGATTGGATCTTGTTTAGCTGCAGTAACTCCTACTAAATTCAATGAATGGTTATCATTGTTTACAAATAATGCTTTATGATTTTTTTCCATTATTCTTTGTTGAACGCCAAATGTGTGACCTGCCATCACGGCAGCATTATCGTAACATTGTGCTCGGCAGTTTGTTAATGAAATTTCATCAGAATTTAATTTCTCTAAAATTGTATTTTCGATCGAGGCTGCACCTTTAGTATGCATTTCAATAAAACTCAAGAAAGATTCTTTGATGGGAAACTCTTTTTATTGACAAAATCAACATCTAGATGATGATGGTTATCGACGATCAGTTTTGGAAACATCTTGATACCAAACGACTTGGGACATTTGTTCTCGATGAGAGATATCAGGAGTTGAA